TACGTAGTTGAAATTTAGATCATTTGTTTTATTTTGTGTGTAGATTTTAAGCAATGGTTCTCAAAGGTGTATATTCGCAACCTTTCGAAAGTATTTTTCCCTGCACTAATCATTAAAAAGTAAATGTGTTTAACCCAACAAAACAAGAGTATACATTCTACTATAAGGTAATATACGACAAGATGTGATTTTTTATAATCCTACTTACCTATTTATCATGAAAAATGCACTCAAGGATTTGCAGATCACTGACATCATCCTCCATGATATATATGTACACATCTGGATATTATTACTTTTCCATATTGCATAGTTGTAGATTTATACGTTCGAATATTTTTAGTTTTACATATTACACATTTGTGTAGATCTATACATTTGAATATTATTAATTTTCCATATTACACGTTTGTAGATATATACATTTGTAGTTTTTTATAATTTCTCAAAGAACCATAGAGAGAAGTGTGTAAATAGTAAAAAAATAACAATATCATCTAATTAATTTCAGGTGAAAGTTGTATTAATTATTGTACTGAAAGGAAGACCTCTTCGTTTGTGAGTTACACAAACTCTACAATACATGCTTTGTATGACATAATTCCGAAATTTAAAATGTGAAGATTCAAGAACATTGATAGGTTAAATAATCAAGAACATTAGAGGCAACAAATAGCTGATTGAGATTCTAAATTCTTATTTCTATCTAATGACATTATAATATAATCATGAATCAATTTTTGGTACTCTTGATTTGTGTTAATACACTCTATGCATAAGATGTTGTACATTGCTATTAAAAATTGAACCACATTTTCTCATTTGGCTTCTTTACCCTCTATACACTGTTTGTTTTGTCCTCCATTACCTAACCTTCATGCCCATATGCTTTATTGATGATCGTGAGGTTTACCGTATCGACTTTGCTTCGATTCACATCCCACATTCGCCATAGTTGAGCTTCTAAACTCCTCAAGTCTCTCACTGTCTGCCATCCGTTGTTAACTGAATCGATGGGTGTCGTCGGTATTGAAGGCTATCCCTCATTGTCAAGGCAATATTTGTTGAGGGAGCAAGAAGAGAAATTGAATGTGGGAACCAATCCAATGTAGTTGATGTGGTTAAATTCTGTCAGAGGAAGTTGCACCAAAACAAGATGTAGCCCTTGTTGTTGAGAGCAGCCCAATCATCCCATCTGCTAATGCTGAGTGTTGAGGAAAGTAGTGTGGCCTCTGGTGATACTCTAATCAGTGAAGAAGTTGAAAGTGGGGATAACAACCTAGCTGCAAGCGAAGAAAGCAATCAAGAAACAGCAGATGATAGCACAGATGGTGGTCAAGATGCCAATGAGGAAGAGCCCCCAGAGATGTTTGAGAGGGTTATTGCAGATTTCTGGGTCCTAACTACAAACCCAAGCATACACTGCTTTACCAAATATGTTGAATAGGTCCACATGTTCACTTTCTTCCCCTTTTCCATTAAAATTTTATAACTTCATTGATTCATTCGGTAAATTATGCGCTTTCACAAGTCTTGAATCTCTTGTATTGATATCATTTGATAGTTCCAATGCAAATGACCATCTAAAACATCTTGAATCCCTATTAAGGATAATAATTCAACTGGGTTGTTTGTTTCATAACATTAGAGTATAATATGAAGTTGGGTATGTATTTCTTCCCCTACAAAAGAAAAATGAAATTTGTAATGTAGTTCATGATGAACATACTTCTTCTGTTCAGTTGTACTTTAGAGTAGGGCTCTTACACAAATTAAGGATAAAATTCTGGGATTAGTTAATAGTGTAGAAAATGTAAAAGACAAACAAACATAAGACAGAAGATGAAATGGTAGAAAGTACTACTTTTAACGAAGCAATTTACTTGTATTAGTGCTATCCAATACGAGTACAAAATAAAAATTACACCTTATTGTAAAATAGACAATACACATATTGTCCAAATTTTTTAGTTCAACAATTTTGTTTTGTTTCTAGTGGAATGCATTCCTATATAAGAAAAAATCATCATAGGTGGCCGTGAATTACATAAAATGATGATTTCTCCATGCACATGCTCTCCCCTTGGAATCGTTATGTGTGTAGTTATCTGTTGGATCACAAGCTCAACACTATCCTTCACGTTTGTTGATTAGATTCCGGAGAAAGCTTTCCAAATGTACCAACAAATTATTCCATGGAGACTCAATCATGTGTCACTTCACTCACTTGTACCAAATTTTGATCACCATGTGACCAACTGTTAGACCCCTTTTATTTTTACCGTGTAACACCAACTGAGGTGTCCATGCGGGCTTACTTTGTGATATCATATGTCTATTGATAGTTGAATACTTGGAGTATATAATGTACCTATCTAACATTGCTAAAGTTATTTTTCAACCCAAACTGAGTACCTTAAATCTTTTTGTTTGTCACTTAAATTCAATGAAAATCTTACCCACAAGTTCCATTTTCTAATTTGAATATGCAAACACATACTTCGAGCATTTCAAATGATAAAATAAACATTGATCACCGTACCAAATTTAATATTTACTAAATATTAATGCATTTTGCACAATTTCCCTAAAAAATGATGAGAGTTCAAATAAGTATTATCCCTATTTCAATTTAAGTTTCTCATTAAAAAATGACACGATTTTGTAGACAATATCTAAATAGAGTTATTTGGGCGGCGTTTGAGAAGTTGTTCTGATGATTATATAATATAACGAAGCCATCCATGATAACTGTGATGTTTTAAATGTATTATTTTTAATATTTGATGATCATTTAAGTGTGCTATTTATTTTTTAAATAGAAATGAGAATCTTTAACTGGGACGTTCAAAAGAGGCAATGCAAATGAGAAGGTTAAGTTCAGACATATAGATTATTTGTCTATAAAATAGAAATTAAAATACCGTGAAAATACCTATAAGAAATATTAGATTTAAAAAACTAACTTTAACTATGAAAAAAATGAAAACACCAATTATTAAGTACAAACAATTCAAATGTAATAGGTACTGCTATAATGCAAAGTTTAAATATTTTCAATAAATCCATCATTTAAATTTATTTCCAAGCATTTTTGTGGCATGTACAATACGTGGTGTGTTTTATTTGTATCTAAATTAAAATAAAATATTGAAAATAAAACCAGTCCGTAAAATCAATAAAACAGAATTAGTTGCCAAAATAATTAAGTTCAAATAAAGTTTAGTACCACCTTACATTTAAATCTACATATATATTGTAGTATGAAAGAATGAACAAACATTACCTATGAAGTTTGAATGGACAAAAATATGACCATTTTAGAAATGGATTAAAAAGTGACCAATCCTTTTGGGCTTTGCAACGATCACAATTCACAACCCACCTTCTCTCCTTCGTCTTCACGCTAGATCTACTCCATCGACTTCTCCACTGGCTAATTTACCTCCATTGACTTCTCCATCGTGTTACCACCATCACCAGGCCATCGAACCGCATCGCCACCGTTACCAAGCCATCGTTGTCGCCTCGCCACTCACCACCATCGCCAACTACCATATCCATCCCCAGCCTTCCATCTCCATCAACCAGATTCGTTGCTCTAGCTTCTTCTCCTTCATCGATCGTCTACTCCTGTTCGAATTCCGGATGGCATGGTTGCACGCTGATGGCTGGATCTGTTCTTAACGGCAAGGGTTCGTGATATAGGTGACAAAGAAGAAGATGGGTCCAGGTGTGCGATGGATACTCGATGAAGGCGTCAGTCATACGGTTCGACTAAGGTTTGAGATCTGATGTTGGTGGCTACGGTTGCCTCGTGTGATAGGCTGCGGTGGCGGTGGGGCGGTCGTCATAGGGCTGGGCGAGGTGTGGTGTTTGGCAGCGACTGTGAAGGGACTGAGAGCTAGGGTGGGGGTTGGTAGGCTGGGGAGGGGGCTGGTGGGCTAGTGAGTGGTATGGTGTTTGGCAGCGACTGTGGAGGGGCTTAGGGCTGGGAAGGGGGTGGTAGGTTGGGGAGGGGTTTGGTAGGATGGGGAGGGGCTTATGTGGTCACTATTTGGGCGGCGGTTGCGAGGTGTGTAGGGGCTAAGGGCAAGTGTGGGGTTGGGGATGTGGAAGTGGCTGTGACGTCGGGGTGGCGTCCAGATTTGATTGAAATTTACATTTTCAACGGGCAATAATGACACCGGCTACGACGCAGATGTCACAACGGAGGTGTCACTGTGATCGACAGTGCCAACAAGGGTTCACTGGGCTGTGGCAGTGTCACTATGGCGGTGCCATTGTGGCCGACGGTAATGCCGGTTGTGACACGAGCGATGGTGGCGATAGTGACATGGCGGCAGTGACATCCGAAAGTGACATAAGAATTGGACATTGACATGAATTTTGTGGATGTCACTTTATCTTAGTTACATTTTTGTCCAAATGTAAATGTGGTCACATTTTTAGAAAATAACTTTAATTTAGTAATATTAAGGGAAATCCCTTGTAATATTGTCGTTACATTATTGTTAACCCATGAAATTTGCTATTTATTCGTAAATTTAGATTTAGGGAGCTATTGATCGTTTAAGTTTGATCACTTCTAAATTAGTTCCTGTAATTAAATAGTTTGTTTACTTTAAAGTTTTTTTTAACTAAAAAGTTAAACTATTGCTCAAAAGAATATTTTTTGTAGAAAAGTTTTCAGTGTTAAGAAACTATGAGCATATTTGAAAGTTATTTTCAATTAATCAAATTTATTGGCCTTTTTTTAATAAATAGGTACTCTCAGTCCCATAATCCCATTCAAAAGTTCTCACTTTCCATTATTGGACGTTCCGATTGTAGATTCTCATTTTCTATTTCTAGAAACAACTAAAATTCGTAAATAACAATTGAATTATCAAATATTAAAAAACTAGTTTAGTAACGCGCGTTGCGCGTTCGTGGTGATGCCCAAGGCCATTGTAGAAACATTAATTTCTTGGTTTAGGTTGAGTGAATATATGAGTAATATGAATACAATATTTAAATACACATATTGTAATTTACAAAAATACGAAATAAAATAAAATGAACTTTATGAAGGGACACACAAAAAATGTGGCAAATTTTATAAACATGTATTAGACCCCACTGGCATTCTGACCTCTAATGTAAATCGAAAAGCCACCCACATCACTCACACACAAACAAGTAAAAAAAGAGAACCAATGCCAAACAAGTAGAAACTACGGAACCAATAAATGGCCATAAATCAACACCAAACACCAATAGTCTATGGCTAATTAATCAATTAGCATCAGGGGTCTCTACTTCGGGTTTCTCTTGTTCAGCCTCTTGGACTTCCTTCTTTGACTTCATTCCCTTCTTTGACTTGTATTACACACTCATGAAGGTGCCTATGGCTTTATACTTGTGCCTGCAGTGGTCATAGAGCCCAACATCAAACATCCTCGAGAAGCTCTTTTCCGACAACTCAGACGCTGCATCTTGTGGTTGGAACCTGTGGTTCTCAATCAACCGATTCTCCAAACGCCACACTGCCAATGAACCGTCAAAGACATCACCTCTAAGGACAGGGCCAGGTGCGTAGTACACTCCAATATCAGTGTACATTTGGGCATAGCTCCTGTCGCCTTGCCTTTTGCGCAGCTCAAATCTAGGATTCAGATATATCATGGTTTTCAACAGGAGCCTGTAAAATCTGTGTGGGCAAAGCCATATGGGGTACGCCTGTTTATAATTAAAAAGCCATACAATGAACATATGATATATCATGGTTTTCAACAGGAACTTGTCAGGTTGGTAGAAGAATTTTCCATCTTAACAGCCGGATTTCAAGAAAACACATACTTACTGATAAAAAATATTACCAAAAAAATAGAATTTTATGGACAAAAAAGTATGATGCATAGTTTGTAGCATAAATACTATCCTGGTAACTACCGTTCAAACATCGGTGGTGCCTATTAAAAACAACACTTTCATCAATTACTTTTTATTTTGATCACACATTTGACATTATTTCACTTACTGAATCATGTGGATTGACAAATGAAGAAAAACAGTATAATCATAGTAGCACAAATAGTAATTTTAGCAGGTCCCAAAAAATGTAGGAAGAAAAACACTATAATCATGGTAATGATAGTATAATCATAGAACACTTGGTCAGGTCCCAGAAAATGTAGGACAACATATAATATTCATTTGGTTCTCTTTTAACACACCCAAAGCGTTCCCTTTAATGTTTTTCTAGCTTTAGACGTTAGTATATTCTAAAGAAGGGTTGTTTCATCTTCCCACCTTTACCCCATTATAGCTATTGTCTTGCTCCAAAAAATAAAAAATAACCAAGTACCAGCTAAACTACAGTAGTGCTTAGCCAAGTTTAGAAGTTTGAAAGGTGACACTTTTTTGTGCTAGGCTGAACCTATTAGGAATGACAACTCTGCATCAGTTGGAAAATAAAATAACATGTATTCATAATTAAATAAGCAACCTTTAAATGAATCTCCCACACATTGGTTTTCCTTGTTTGAAAATCCAGAAAAGATGTGTTTAGTCAATCAAAGAATTTATTCTAGAAATCATTTTCTTTTAATCTAAATCTTAGCAGAAAGCTGGTCTAGTTATTTAACTAAGGTGACTCACTTACATGCATTTCTTTTTATTAAAAATCCAGCACGTAATTTATTATTCATTTTCCCATGCATTCCTTCCCACCCAAAAGTAAACAATTTCTCTTAGAACAAGAACATAAAGACCTGTCTGATTTTTCTTTTTCCATCCTATCTGTTTCCTTCCCATCCTCAGAGGATGACAAACTTTTCTTTGATTTACTTACTAAGATATCAAAGAAAAACAAGCACATCAAAATTGTTGCTCACAAGACATCATTTCAATTCTAAAAACAGGGCAATAAAATATTATGAACTGAACTCAAAATTAGTTAAATGTTGAATGAAACTCCAGAGTTAAATATGGAAGTTAAGGATATACAGGTGCAAAAACATGTATGAATAGACTCAGAAGTTTACAAGGAAATCAAACTTGTTTGCAACAAGTTCCAAACAAAATTAATTGAAAGACTTCATTCATGTAAAATGCAGATCCCCCATTTTACCATAGTTTCCAAATGAAAACAGGAAAATGAAGGCTTGATCTTAGCATCACACAAATAGACAACTATTCTTCCTTAAACTTTCTCTAATTCCCGTCTAAGAATATGAAATAATGAAACTATATACTATTTTCATTAAGAAAAGATTACTCGTTAAACATCACCATGGACGTGTATCAAATGCTTCAAATAGTAAACATGGTTCATTTACCTTGAACTCCCTGATATCCTAGTTTCTTCTACAACATCCACCAATCGACAATAGCTCTATCTCTAGTGCAATGCCCAGTGCTACTGCTTATCTCATTGAAATTTCATTATCAATTTGGTAAATTTTCATCCAGATTCTCAAGATATGCAACAGGCAGATTCTTAAGAAATGACGAGGAATCCCCAAGAAGAGAATTGGGGTTCTACCGCTATCCTAACTCACCCTACTGCCACGGCAACAATAGCTATTATAAGCACAGACGCTGGTTTGAAGGAACTCATCCCAGGCACAGCAAACAGAGACATAACAAATCCTACTACGGATCTCCCTTTCACAACTCCAGGTATAACGAAATTTCAAAAACGACCAAGGAAAAACACGAATTTAAGGCAAGACATAACAATCTGGTACGGCGAAGAGAGCCCCATCGCCACTCCTTCTGCGGCCTCAACACTGGGAGACTCCATACGTTTGGTGAACAGTCAACTACAACAAACGACGCCAGTTAGCTCGCCCCCTCTGCTCTAATGTGCATCGACGAACCATCCTAGAAAACCTCAGAGCTTCTGGTTACTTCAATTGCTGTCAAAGGTTAGATCTAGATGATGCTAATTATTTTTCATCGCAAACGGATAATCATCCCTCCAAGGATTATCGGATAACTGGAAAAGATAAACCTGTTGATGTGAGAAGAATCCCAAAAGATCGCCCCTCAAATTTTAGGGACGGAAATTGCATCGGAAGGAAAAACGAAGGAAGGTGTCACTGTTAACATTTCCGTTAAAACGACAAGTTAAAATGAAGTCAGAAGTACAACAAAGTAAACATAATGTATAATGACTTAATGCATTAAGTGACACCAACATTTTTTATCACCATTCTACCCATAACAATATTCCCTCTTATAATAATGTAGAGATACACATATAACTTCACAATTATCATCAATGACCCATTATATTATATAACTGTTGGAATATTAGGACCCGACCCAAATGCAGCCCCAAGATATCCCCAAAGGGCCCAGGACCAGCAAAGTCCGACGGATTGACGGAACAAACGAGGCCTCCTGAACGGCACCTACCGAATGGGCTGATCACCATACTTGCGCCGACTATCAAGTCAAGAGGGGTTAACCTTGGAGGACCGGCCCACCAGAATTGGCGGGAAACCTCATAAACTGGCGGGAAGCGCATTAAATGCAAGGGATATAAGGGATTTTATGGTTAGGGGTCATCCATTCAGAGACACCTACATCACCCCCTCCAACTACTCACCCATAACATAAAAGTCAACATTTATTTCATTGTTAGGGTTAGCAAAATTACACTCACATGTAAGATATTGATTTTAGCTCTTACCGGTGGGCGTAGCTCAACTGGTAGCAAGGGAGAGCCACAAGGGTTAGGTCCCGTGTTCGAATCCCGGCAACTGCGATGAGAGGTTACTATGCTAAAAATTCACAGGGCCTCCCCAAGTACCGGGGACAGAGCCCCTCTCTCTATGTGTCAGATTGGGATTATAGTCTATTTTACATTCTCCTAATGTACCGTCCGGTCGGGGTTGGGGGGCCATCAGGAATGGGGTGTCATCCTTTTTTGATTTTAGCTCTTGTGTTAGCTTCCAATTCATGAAATCTCCTTCGACCATTTATGTGTAATCAATATATTCATCGCAATATAGTTGGTTCTTTGTATTTCTTATCATTGACCATCCTCACTCAACCCACCTTAAGACCTCGTATTCCAACGATAGACAAAAGAGTGTGTTGGGCCTTTGTAGGAAAAAACCGCAACAATACCCATCAAAACTATTTTCCCAGAATATACACGAATTAACATATTTAATTATTATCTAAACAATCATGTCCTTTTGTAATAAGAATCTTTGAACGAGAGAAATGCAATACTTATTAGTTTTGTGTTCTGAAATGTGAATAATCATACGTAGTATTAAGTAAACTAGTAAAGTAAGAAAAAAACTTTGACTGATTAAATTGATTGAAATGATTGAAGATGGTGATTTTGTCGTTTATTTTTATTTATTTAAGTACTTTAATTTATTTTACAATTCACTAAATTTAATTCATTGAACCGCTACAACTATAATTTAGCATATTTTAGTGTTACGAAATAGTGTTACCAAATAGTCAGCCCCTTTTAATCACAATTAACACTCCGTGATTCAAGAACGCTTATTATAAATACGTCAAGCGTAAGACACACTCGGATTCGAGAACCAATCTCCATCGTCTTCTCCCCGCCCCCTCTCCTCATTTCATCGAATAGCTGAGAGAGAAGGGTAAAAGTATCAGTAGAAGACACGCCATTCTCCGCCCTAGCATCAGCCATCGCCGCCGGGGATTAACCCTAAAATATTCTAGTATAGCCTATGGGTATTGATTCGGTGATTCACCCGATAGAAAACAGTACTGTAAAAGTAAACAATACTAAAAAACTTAGCATTCAATCCAAAGTATCAGGGATTATTATGGCTCAAGACGAGTCGTACGTTTCTTCATCAGCACTTGACGCAGCTAGAGATGCTGCTGGAGATTCAGAGAAGTCTATGGCTGGAAACCTAAATTCGTCAGCAGAGTCACCCTTGCCGCAGCTCGAGGTTGGCAACCCGGTGGAGTCGTCCACCTCTATTTCTCCACCGTCGGATCAGCTTCCGTTGTCTCTCTCCAGGAATCTTTCCCTCAGCAAGTTGAACGCCGGAGCTCCTGCATTTATCCCCAGAAACGCGCCTTCGCACTCTGCCTCATCAGCGACATCTGCCTCTCCGGCTCCTTCAGCTTTAGCTTCTTCTTCATCTTCACCGTCTTTGCCTGGACTAATGATACCTCCTCAGCATGCCCAACCGTTGCTACACGTTTACAACACACCAAGAGGAGGTAGTGCCTTCGGCCCAATCTCTCCCCATGTGCCGGTCCAGAGTCACTATCTCTATGCTCCTAATCTTCCCACCCCATATATGAATGGAGGGTTTTTGGATCAGGCAGTGCAAGAGGTCACAGGTTCTGGTAGTACTACTGCAGTTCAGGCTGCCTCTCCGCAGGAATTGGATAAAGGGTTTAAAAATGGTAGATCATCAGAAGACGCATCTCAGAAGATTATTAACCAGGTACCTTCCCTCAGTTCCCAGCATTGAATGGTTATGTTAATAACTCAGCTCTATGTCGTTTATCAACTACACTGAAACTTTTTATTATCATTTGAATGAGAGAAGTTTGCACAAGATTTGTAGCTGCCTTAGTAGCAACTTATGTTTATATTCATATTATGAATTTCTTGTTCTGCTTTGTCTGGCATATATTGTTGAGATATAATTTTGAGTTATTTCCAAATGGTCATGATTTATGCTGACTAGCTAACTACATGCATATTTCTTTTAGAGAATTAATCGCCTGTTTGCATCTTTCTGCTTCGTTTTCCAACAGGTGGAATATTATTTCAGTGATTTAAATCTTGCAACCACTGATCAGTTAATCAGGGTTATGAACAAAGATCCTGAAGGATATGGTATGTATCCCAGATCTATGTCTGACCTTGTTTAGTTAGTTGGTTGTCTGTTTGTCCGAGTTTTGGTTTTTTAATCATGGACTCTCTTAGACCATATTTAGTGATGGTAAATCAAGTTTTTTGGTCAGCTACTCATCTACTACCCTCACACACATTAAGTAAATATTAAGGAGTATAATTTAGTTCTTACTAATAGAGTAGTACAAGGGAGACTAGCGGTAATTTTCTTCTGTTACCTCCTTGTTTCATCAATATAACATATGTGGTGAGCATAATTAAGTTGTAGTCGCATGTGAGTTTGTAGTTAGATGAAATTTATTTTGAGTTGTGTAATCACTTGTGTCATCTGCTCATCTCCACATCCATAGATGGCTGTGTTCATCCTCCAGTTCATTATTCTTGCACCCATTTTGTGAAATAACAAATGGTTGAAATGTGTTCATCTAGTGCCATGCATCTCTTTGTAGACTAAGCATTCTTTTTGCACCCTACAATGGGCTGCTTTTATATTTTGTTATTTTTAATTTGTTCACTTGATAATAATGAAGGCTAAACAGGCTTTTGAATCACTTTATTCTTGCTATGTAGTACCGATATCTGTTGTTGCATCCTTTAAGAAGATTAAAGCTCTACTCAGTAATCATGCCCAACTTGCTAAGATCCTTTGCAACTCAACAAAGCTTGTAAGTTTCTCTTACCTTCCTTGAAGATTGGTCCAAGGTGTTTGGTTTTGTTTCATTATGTCTATGCAATTATAAGCTTAGAATATGTGCCTTTATTATTTTTCTTTACCACTGCGAGTATTATTCAGTTGCTCAATTTGGTACCTCTATTTTCTAGGTAGTTAGTGAAGATGGAAAAAAGGTCAAACGCCGGCATCCTCTTAGTGTAAAAGATATGGAAGAGTTGCAAGTATGACCCTACTTTTGAGAACTACATTGCAGTTTTTATTTAGCAATTCAGATTTTTTTATTGCATAATTCAAGAGCGTCCAACTTCTTATTATAAGTTAATACTCTATATAGAGAGAGTAAAAGAGACCTTCTTGGTGGTATTTCTAAGATAAAAAACTTGTATTCATCACTCTTTGTAGTCTCGCATAATTATTGCTGAAAACCTGCCTGAGGACCATTGCCACCAGAACCTTATGAAGATTTTTTCAACTGTTGGAAGGTAAAGAGATATAGCTGCTAATGATATGTGGTGTATTCTGCCACTTAATTGAAAAAAGCATCCAGTAAGTCTTTGTTTTTTAAAATCTACCTGCTTAATCGTACCAGTGTGAAGATGATTCGCACATGTCAACCTCAGACTATCAATGGCGGATCATCATCAGGAACTAGAACAACAAAGTCAGATAGTATGCTCCTCATCAACAAGGTACAGATCCTTTGATTTACTAATTTGATTACAGAATGCAAAATTTCCAGGATCAGAAAGATTATACTTTTTAAAAGAGCTTATGATTCTGTTGAATTCAACCAAGTTGTAAATATCCATTTAGTAAACAAGTCCAACCAAGCTTGACTTTCAATTACCAACCTTTGACCTTAGACTCACAATTCCCATACTGCTATGTAAGTTATAGTTCTTTCAGCTTGATTTTGACCCACATGAAATCAAAAATTTCGAGTATGTCACACCCCTTCCACAGTTCCACCATTTTTCTGTTAACTCAAAGCGACGAGCCTAAGATGGATTTATGAAGTGAATATTATCAGAACTTATTTGACAAGTCATGTCTGCTTGAAATGTTGAATATTAGACATGCTTTATTTGCTAGGAGAGAAGGCGGAGCAAAAAGAATATCAAGTGATACACTTAATCAATACACAAACCTTGAGCTACTTAACGAATTGAAACTAACAGGTTTTAAAACAATATACTAATGACCGGGATTCAAATTGCTTTTACTTGGTAATATTATGCTACTGTCTTGATAATAGTGGATATTTTTGCATCACATATGACTTCTAACATGCCACTCCCATATGCAGTTGCATGCATTTGTTGAATATGAAACTGCTGAATTGGCTGAAAAGGCGGTATGTTTTATTTATTTGTATATTCCACTACTCAAAAGCACATTCTCATTCCTTGTTTACTCATTCTGGTCACCTTTTTATTATTTGTGTGCAAATCCTTTTTGCAGGTTGCTGAACTAAATGATGCTGGTGACTGGAGGAATGGTCTCAAAGTTCGTCTACTGAGAAGCAACCTGAAGGAAGAAGATTCATTTGCCTCCGAGAAGCAACTCTCATTGCAACATGCTGACCCTCAACCTAACGGGCTCACAGTAAGTGGAATTTGTACTTTTGTCAAGTAAATGATAGTTTAGACATATGGTAAAAGTAATATAAATATTGTGCTATGATATGCTATCCACCCCTTCTCTATCGCTAGTTAGGATAAATTACATTTAATTTATGTGAATAGGTTGTCTATGCTTCTTGGGTTATTTGATATCTACACATGAACACATGCCTAAGTCTGTCAGGATTGGACAGAGGGCTTGCCCAAGTCTATCTTGATGTGTGTGTGTGTATACACTTGAGATTTTGTAAAAAGTCGATAGAGTAACATAAGATGATGTGATTGTATAACATTTCAACCTCCTTTTCTAAGGTTTTATATTTTATATTTAGAAATGTTCTATTTAAAAATATATATATATATACACTAGCCATTCAAATACTTCCTCTTTGGACCTCTCCATCCCAGCCAAGTCCTGTGTAAACATAGAACACTGCTATATGCCCACCTAATAAGCCTCGATATTAATCATTCCACATTGATTTTTCTGTGCAATCATGATGAGTATGATAACAAAGGGAAATAAATTGGTTTTTATTTGATTATGACTAATGAAGAGATTCCTTTGCCTATATTATACTAGTAATAATTATTACTCCATATTATTATTTTCATTTTACTCTCTTTGTCCTGAATTTATCTTTATGTTTTCCTATTTGGTCCATTTCAAAATAACCTTCCTATTTCACTTTTAAAAAGGAAACATATGGTTATTATCATTTCACTCATTTCAACTTGAAGAGTTAAAGTTCAACCACACATTTTCATTTTCAACCATCTTTCTCAATAAGTGTGTCAGAAGATTTCAGGATTAATGTGTTATTGTTGTTATTAATGTTGTTGTGGTTGACATTTTTTTGGACAGGGAGGGGAAGAGGGTGGTGATAAGGATGTGCAAAGGAAAGGACGTAACCGTGGCAAGGGTAGAGGACGTCCTAACAACCGCGGATCTCTAGGAACTTCATTACAATCAACTGGAAACCGTACTGCGCCACAACCTCTTCCAAACTTCTCCTTAAATGCTGAGCAGCCAGTTGCAGGAAAGCAACAACCATCTGTGCCCCGAATGCCCGATGGTACTAGGGGGTTCTCAATGGGCCGCGGGAAACCAGTTGCTGTTAGAAGTGCCTGAAATTCTCCTTTTATATATGCATATAGAATTGGCGGGATAATGTGTGTGCTATACTGGGAAGTGGGAAGGCATGTTCTTCATTTTTGTGCAGTATTGATTAATGCTAGGAAGGAATTGGAGGGGTTATTGAAAAGTCTCCCACTACAGACATGGCATGTTTGTTTTCTTTGTTGAGGAGAGGACCTTTGTGGGTGCTGTATTATTATTATAATTGTTAGTATTAGAATGATAAACAGAACCTGCAGCATTATATAACCTACACTTATACTTGATGAGGACTTGACTAAAAGAATACCAGTTTGCAAGCAAAGCTTATTTTATTTATTTCAATTTACTCCCAACTTTTTATTACCCAGGAAAATGAAATTTTATATAACAAAAATGACTCAAATTAGGAGCCCAAAAGTGGTATTTACTCAAATGACTTTGGTAAGGCGATTGAAGTTGTGGAAATTGTGGTTTTGTTGAATTTCACGAAATATATATTAATGCCTGATTTAAAAAATCGTTGAGTTTGATAAGGTCTAAATAGTAGAAAGGAGTTTGCAATTGCTAAAAAATATAGCTAAATACCGTGTTTTCAGTTTTTTTAAAACAAGCAGTTAGAAGTTATAAATGGTACAATAGTGTTTCTGCAACTGCATTTTACATTTTCTATTTAGTTTTTCTGTGTTTCTGCAACTGCATTTTACATTTTCTATTTAGTATTTCTCCAAACATTCTAACTTTTATTTTTCTAAATCACTATTCTTTTCAAATATTATGTACTTTTACTAGTAATTAGTTACATAATATCAAAAAAAATAATTTTTCAAACTCAAAAAGTAAAAGTAAATGTGACCACTCATTAATTTCCAAGATTACATACTTTTACTAGTAATTACTTACATAATCTCTAAAAAATAAATATTTTCTCAAACTCAAAAAGTAAAAATAAATATGACCGTTCATTAAAGAATCACTAAAGATTAGTTTTTATTAATAATGAAGTAATTTTCACATACTCGGTAAAAACAAATATTGTTACATGTGGTGATAATGTGATAACTGATAATAATGGATGAAAGCAGGAGCGGATGCATGCATTGTACCCGGGGGTCTGGCCCCTTCAATTATTTTTTATCATATTTGGCCCCTCATCATCCATGCCCCATTTGGAGGAGTAATATTTCATAACAAAATAATATATTAGTGTTGTAAATTCCTGAGAATAACAAGTGTGAATTGTTCATCCTTGTCATTAGAACATTAATTCAATTCCAATCCTTGTAATAGACAGATGGCTAAGTTTAATGTTGACAGCAGATTTTGCAGAATCATTCTTTGATGATTTATCTCCCGACCAACTAGTATAAATAGGGTGATCAATCCTTTGTAAATGTAACTTAGAAATTTCAGAAAATATTAAGAGATTAAGAAGAAGATATTCAGAGCTTTTATTAATATATCTATCTCTTAAGTTTAGTCTTCATCTTCTTCATTTCACAACACGTTATCAGCACGAATCTGTTCAAAAGTACTCAAGAAATCATCTACCTGCAGGTATGAGCATATAATATGTATTACTCTGTATCTTCCTCAATAGGTGAAGAAAAAGAAAAGGAATAAATAGTAACAAACATGCTTCGTGATTAGTAAACAAGGAAGAAGAAATATAGATAATATGCATACCTGTAGAATATTTATCATTCCAAATGAAATCTTCATATAAACAATGAGAATAATGGATACACCATAACAAGGGGAAAAAGTATTCTGCACTTACAGTAACCTATATTCTAAGGGACACTTTGTTGATCATACGAAGTATACGTAAGTAAAGAAAGAGAAGTAAAATGAGCTGTTGAGAATATTGAAATATACTGAGGTCACGTACTCTTAATAAACAAAATAGTCACCGGGTGTTAGAGCACAAGTTTACATGCTCTGTCTACACTTTTTTCCATGTAACAGAATGTAGCAAGATTTTTGCATATTATCTAGGTTTCATGCATGCCACGTAGCTTTTGCACTATATGTTATTCCGTGGTTTTTGTTTTATCTGTTCAAACAAAACAGTAAAATAAATTTTACTTGTGACGACATTACATACGGACTACTTACACTTGCATGCAATAAATTTCAGAATTTTAATTTTACTAATCTTTGTATATGGATTATCATTTTTTTCCAATCGAACATGATATGTCATTTTATTTTCGTTAATACATACGTAAATTAGGCATGTTTATATAATTATGGATTGATGTACATGCAAATTAAAGTTAATTAATGAAATTAATTAAAAAGGTATAGTGTGTCTGTGACTGACTAATTTAGATACGGAGTATAATTTACTAATTAAATTAATTTTTGTAGTATACATGGCCAACATAAGCAAAAGAGAATTCGACGTTCTTGATCTGTCCGGTCAAAAATATCTGGAATGGAAAGTTGATGCTTTAGCACATTTAAAGGCTAATGGTCTTGAAGACACCATTGAGGCTGATAATCAATCATCTCCCAGGACAAAGCGAAAGCTATAATTTTCCTTCGTCACCATCTCCATGAAAGTCTCAAATATGAATATCTTTTGGTTGATGACTCAAAAGAATTATGAGACAATTTACAGGAGAGGTATGACCACCAACAAAAGGTCCTTTTGCCTAAAGCTCAGTATGACTGGATCAATTTAAGATTCCAGGATTTTAAATCTATCAGTGACTATAATTCTGCAATGTTCCAAATAACATCTAAATTAAAGTTATGTGGACAAAAAGTCACTGATGGTGATATGTTGGAAAAAACCTTTTCTACCATGCATATTTCTAATATGCTGCTACAACAACAATATAGAGAAAAGGGTTTTAAAAAATACTCCGACTGAATATCAGTACTATTGGTAGCTGAGCAAAATAATGACATTTTGATGAAAAATCATAATCTGAGACCCACTGGTTCTAGTCCTTCGGTTTATGGTCCATCTGGCCATAATTTAGCCACTGAATCAAATGCAACATATAGTGGCAGTAGAAGGCGTTTTAAACGTGGTCATTTTAATGGTCATAAAAACAAGTCACACCGAGAATTCAAACAGGTCGAAAGACCAAATTATAAGGGCAAGGGCAAACAAAAGGCCCATCAAATAAATCGCCCTATAAAATCCTCGGTGAAGACGACTTGTTACAAGTGTGGCATGACGGGGCACTGGGCTAACAAATGCCGTACTGCAAGGCATCTGGTAGAATTATTTCAAGCTTCCATGAATTTGAACAAAGGCAAAAATATGGAAGCTAATTATGTCAATGACACAACTCCACCTCTGCCAAAATTTGACGTGTCTGACTTTTTCGCGGATGATGCCATTATGGACGATGCTTTTTCCATAAACCAAAATGTTACTGAATAAAATAGTAGACTCCTGATGTTGTACAATACTAGTTTTTTCTTTCTTCCCCGTTTTATTTTGTTTTTAAATAAATATGTGTAATGTATATACTCTTAAGTTAAATAATATGCATAATTTGTGATCAAGCTTATCTTTATTTATATATATTGAAGATATGAATCATTCAAATGATAAAGAGCTATGTCTGATAGACAGTGCCACAACGCACACCATTTTGAGAAATAAAATATATTTTTCTCAAATGACTTTAGTTGAAGCTAAAGTCAATACCATATCAGGTGTTGCGAAGCTCATTGAAGGCTCTGGGAAAGCATATGTGATGCTCCCTAACGGGACCAAAATAATTATAAATGATGCTTTATACTCTAGCAAATCGCGGAGGAATTTATTAAGTTTTAAAGATATGCGTCAAAATGGTTATCACATAGAAACTGTGAATGAAAACCAAAAGGAATATCTTTGTCTAACGACAACTAAATCTGGCACTAAATGTATTTGTGAAAAAATGCCAGCATATTCCTCAGGACTATATTTCACTCATATTAGTCCATTCGAAATAAATTTGGTTTCTAACACAAAGTTAGATGATCAGAAAACATTCATGTTGTTGCATGACCGTTTAGGTCACCCAGGCCAGGTAATGATGCATAAAATCATTAAGACTTCACTTGGACATCCATTAAAGAATATCAGGATTCCATTATCAAGTGATTTTCCTTGTAAGGCCTGTTCTCTTGGCAAAATGATCATCAAGCCTTCTATAAACAAAATTACAACTGAATCACCTGCATTTTTGGAAAGAATTCAAGGAGATATTTGTGGGCCGATAGTCCCACCATGTGGACCATTTCGATATTTTATAGTGTTGATTGATGCTTCAACACGTTGGTCACATGTTAGTCTTTTATCGACTAGAAATCTAGCATTTGCTAAACTCCTTGCTCAAATCATAAGATTAAGAGCTCATTTTCCGGATCATTCTATAAAAAGAATCCGACTTGATAATGCAGGAGAATTTTCATCCCAATCATTTAACGACTATTGTATGTCGATTGGGATTGATGTGGAGCACCCTGTTGCTCATGTCCATACACAAAATGGTCTTGCTGAATCATTGATTAAACGATTACAATTAATCGCTAGACCATTATTAATGAAGTGTAATTTACCTTCATCAGCTTGGGGACATGCTATTTTACATGCATCAAATTTAATTCGGCTTAGACCGGCTGCATATCATGAATATTCCTCAATGCAATTAGTTACTCGACAAGAGCCAAACTTATCACACATTAAGATATTTGGTTGTGCTGTTATGTTCCGACTGCTCCACCTCATCGTACAAAAATGGGTCCTCAAAGAAGGTTGGGAATTTATGTTGGATTTGAATCTCCCTCAATAATAAAATATCTTGAACCGATGACTGGTGACTTATTCACAGCACGGTTTGTAGACTGTCATTTCTACGAGACAGTGTTCCCAACCTTAGGGGGAGAAAATAATAAATTAGACCCAAGTACGAAAGAAATTACATGGAATGCAACAGGATTATCACATCTTGATTCAAGATCAAATATATGTGAGTAAGAGGTGCAAAAGATAATCCATTTACAAAATGTTGCAAATCAGTTGCCTGAAGCATTCACAGATACAAAGAAAGTGACAAAGTCACATATTCTTGCCATGAATGCCCCTGCCAGGATCGAAATCCCAGCAGAGAATTCTGAAAAATCTCTTGCGAATGATTCTTCTATACGCAAAAAGCGTGGCAGGCCACTTGGATCAAAAGATATAAAACCAAGAAAAATTAAAAGGCAGGAATTGATCTGTGATGCCAAAGAAGTTCATCCTTCTGAACAAGAAAATGAACAATTTGAAAATACTGGCATAGGAAATGATATTGATAAAACAGACATCTCAAATGATGATCCAACTTCCTTAAACGAG